GGGGTGATACTACACAAATATGCATAAAAGAAAATAAAATGAAAACTCAAAAAGTTCAAAGTATCAAAGAAAAAGGTAACAAACTTTATGTCTAGTTGTTCGATACATAGGACTGCATCTATCTCCCGACCCGTTCTGTGGATTGTGACACGTCGTTTTCAGTTAGGCAAGTTTTTAACGCTTCAAGTTGTCTGCTCTCTAAGAAATTGGCGTTTCGGTGTGTCTTTCGACGAAAGTCGAAAAAAAACTTATTTCGGTGGTCTGGTTCTAAGTCTCTCTTCAAAATATTTGTTCTTGGATTGAAGAGGAGTCCGGAATTTTTGCATGAATCTTGGTCAGCTATCTGCGAGGCGGTTTCAACTGGAGACTGACTCTGGGAACTCAACTCTGGAAACTCGAGCCCGAACTCTCTGATTTCTGCCTGTTGGGGCCTCGCTTTTATTGACGCCGACCAAAACCGGGGTGGGTCTGTCGGTTCCTCGATAATTCTAAATACATATCCACCTCTTTTATTTCTGGTTAGGGATTTTCCACTCTTTTCCATTTTTGGGAACCTTTCCTCACTCCCACTTTCTCACCATACTTCTGAGGGGCGTGAACTGCCCTCCCCATTTCCTCGTCGCAGCTTCTCATACTTATACTCTGGATGAGGCGTCGACAGCCTTCTTCGTGCGTCACGTGATCACCACTCGGCCAATGAGGTCTTAGTCGGGTATCTTTCCTCCTCCTTCGTGCGTCACGTGATCACCACTTGACCAATGATGTTTTAGTCGGGCGTGAACGAATCCGCGGCTTTGTTTCGGGAAAAAAAATATCTTGCTTAACTAAAAAAAATTATCTCTTCTCTTTCCCTTTTCTTCCGCTTTAATCGCCGTTATCATTTTTCTAGCCGCAAACGGACAATATGACAACTCTTGTTCTACACGTGGTTTTTGTCAGGTATTTTATCGCTAATTATCAAAATGGGTGGTCTTTTTAACACGGCCTCAAAAAAGAAATATCTCTAAAATTTCAGTCAGTCTGTCGCCTCCAAGGAAGAAGAAAAAAAACATTTCTGGGTCCCCATTCATTTTCCTTCGGTACATATTTCTGATAACATAATTTTATTATCGCAGGCCAAAGTTGTTTCGTCGAAAAAAATTCGGTCAGCGGACACGGCTTGGGTGGTTTTTAATTTTTCATATCTACCCAAAGTCCTGTAGTTACACCTGTGTTTTGTCAATTATCAAAATTAACGTTTTCAATTGAATTTTTCGTTGGCCAGTCGAGCAGCCGTTTTGTTTACGTACTCCCAGATAACACAGCCGTTATCAAAACACATCTGTTTCTTTCTTTCTTTCCCTTTCTTCTTACCCAGAATTTCCCTGTCATTGTAATGACACCCTTTCGCCATGGTTACTTATCAATATATTCATTGTCTCTTAGCCGTGTGTGTGTGTTCTGCTGATCACCCACGATTCGTCTCGCCTTTCTTTCTGCCTTCTTTTCTTTCTTTTCCTTTCTCTGCCTCGTAAATGGTGCCACACATGACTGACGAGGCAGATTTTTTTCCTGCAGTAGGTTGCCATTTCTTTCTGCGGTAAACCAGTTAGCCATCTAAGGCTATAGGCCCTGGTCTATCCTGCTATTTACCCATATCTCGGGGGAGAAGAAGAGGATACATATCTTTCCCAAGGGTATTAGCACGTAAGTGAATGTAATGGATTCGACTGGAATTCGAACTACAAGTAATCAGTCAGTTATGTGACATGAGTGATACACGCTTAGGCGATCACGCTTCTTTCAATACATGACTGACGAGGCAGATTTTTCCCGCAGTAGGTTATCATTTCTTTCTGCGGTAGGCCAGTTGGTATCCAAGGCCATAGAACCCAGTTTGTCCTGTTATTTACCCATATCTGGAGTTAGAAGAAGAGGATTCATACCTTTCCCAAGAGTATTAGCACGTAAGTGAATGTGATGGATTCAATTGGAATTCGAACTCGGCTCTCCGATTCCACAATCCGAGCCGTTATTCATTACTCCATCGTGCCTCCTAATTAGCGTAAATAATGGATGAAATTCTGATAACCTTCGAACACAGCAGTCAATAATTTTTTTAGAAATATTTCCGGCGAAAATAGAGAAGAGCTCTCAGATCCTAACATAAAATGAACCTCTAGTTCAATTTCAGGAAATCTGACATGTTTTATGTCTTTTTCAAACAAAATAGCATTGATTTTTGCTCGTTATCTGCAAACCCCGGACATATGTCTCACTGGGACGCTCTCCTTAACGACTATACAAAAATCAATTTCAGACAAACGCAAAAGCGTTTTATACAGAAGTTGTTTTTCCTAATCGCTTCAATTACTCACAGTCAAATACAGTGATCCCTCGTTTATCGCGGTAGATTGGCTCCGAGACCGGCCGCGATAACTGAATTTCCTCGAAGTAGGGACGCCATATTTACAGTATTTATTTAACGTGTATTTGGACTTTTAAAACCCTCCCTGTACTGTTAACAACCCACCCATTACAGTACTCTATTAATAACAAGGACAACTGTTAAGCAATAACAATTTAGATTAAAACAAATAAAGATTGTTACTGTATTCAACACGAAAAAAGTTGAATTAGAATTTGAATAATGATAGTGACGAATTTGCTGCGCAGTAGAAATGATGATGATGATGAAGAAGCTGATGATGACTTCTACTGTGCAGCCGATAATTATATTTTCGGACGGCGCTGCCCTTTCTATTGCTATTTTACGCTTGTTTTGTTATTCCTAGACCAGGAAATAATATTTATTATTAATATTTTAATGAAAAATTTTAGGTGTTCATATATCGCGATTTTTCTAGAATTTTCCAGAAACTCCGCGATATATTTTCCATATATATATTTTAAAAATCCGCGAAGTCGTGAATCCGCGATAGTAAAACCGCGAATTAGCGAGGGATCACCGTAAAAGGCCTAAATGGCTGCGCAGACGTTTTCTATCATTCTATGATCATGTTACTCTAACGAGCCATATTATAGGTGGATAATAGATTGACTTCTAAATATGTTTTTACGCTATTTTTCATCGAATACAAGGTCTAAAAGACGCTCAGAGTAGAGGTTTACGAATAAACGGTAATCGCTCCTTGCAAGAATAGATCAGTCTACTGGACTCATGTGTGTTGAGGGGATTACAATATTTACACCTGTTCTTTCTCTAGGTCTACGATCAGTAATTGGAGTCTTTTTTTTTTTTGAAGCTTAGGAGGCTAACGTAAATAAAAGTAGACATATATTAATCTTACTTATTATAAAACGCAGATTGTGTGTGTGTGTGTGTGTGTGTGTACGTTTATATATTGGATCGGATTTCCTACATTTTTCAACCGATTTCAACAAAACTTCATAGGGACTGCGTAAAATTACCTTGCGGTGGTTCTGACAGCGCCCAAAATTGGAAAAACACAATTGTTTTTGCACGAAATCAATTTGAAAACCCGATTCTGTCGCCAGAATGAAAGGGGGACAACTCATATCGAGTTATACTTATTATAAAACCCAGGTTGTTTGAGTGTGTGTGTGTGTGTTCGTTTATATATGGGATCGGATTTCCTACATTTTTCAACCGATTTCAACAAAACATCACTTTTTTTTGGCAGGTAGTGTTACTTATTGTCTTGCACAATTTTTTCTTTATTTTTATATTCAGAATGCTTTAAAAATTCTATTTACAAGACAATTGTTTATAATAAAATTATATTCAAATTCAATCGATAGCCTCATAACCATTGAAAACAATGTTTATTTTTGAGTTTGGGTTTGACCAATTCGTTAAAAAAAAAAAACAAAAAAAAAACTAATTAAGACATGCGTGTCCGTCAACCTTAAACAATAATCTTTGTCAATTTTATTTTTCAGTCTTTATGATGGTCGATACTTGATCTATCACTTACTGTTACATCCCAGGGCAACGCCGGGCTCTACTACTAGTCACCTATAAAGGTTATTACCTATCTTGTATAACCAAAGTAGGATATAGAATATATCGGCTGAAACGTTAATATATATATATATATATATATATATATATATATATATATATATATATATAAAGTGAACTCCATAGTGGCAATAGAAATGTTGGTAGACCATGGCTCAGGTATAAAGATAAACTGAAAAGCAACCTTTCTTGCGTCAGCATTCCATTCAAGAACTTTGAAGAGGTAGCTATGAAGAGATCAGAGTATCGTTCCAGCTGCCATTCTGGAATAATACGCCATCAAGAAGTAAGCAACGTTCGACTGCGTGAAACGAGAAGTCAGAATAAGACATTTAACAGTGTTTCTGCTGCACTTGGATACAATACATTCTTCTCTACTGTTTGTGGTATTTTTTGCAATTCTCGAGCTGGTCTTAAAAGTCATGACCATTATAGGCATGCAGATAATTAGTTTGCGGTCTTCGGAACCTCATACATCGAACTCGATGGGAGAGTCCATCATATATATATATATATATATATATATATATATTAAGAAATGGACAACGTTCGACAATTTATTTATTAAAGACATTTTTATGTTTAACGTTCTTTTTTATAGATACAAGTATTTAAGTAAATGCTCTGTTTATAATAAACAGTATGCCTGAATGTCCGAGAAATTTTCATAGAAAATATTCGTTCTTTAACAGGATTCGAACCTGCATCCTATACGGAACCGTCATTTACGCTGACGTGCCTTACCGATCGGCCACAAAGAAGCGTTCGGTAGACCAGGTCGAATTTACTGCTTATAAACTTCAATCTTCCATGAATCTCGTACATTCATAACTGCACTGGCGTATCAAATGTAAACAAATGACGTCATATATTAAGAAATGGACAAAGTCCGACAATTTATTTATTAAAGACATTTTTATGTTTAACGTTCTTTTTTTCTTTTCTTTTTTATTTATAGATACAAGTATTTAAGTAAATGCTCTGTTTATAATAAACAGTATTAAATAATATTTACCGGCCTTTGTCCGCTTCTTTGTTCTTAGATAGATAGATAATGAACAGATTTAGGCAGACAGACAGATAGATAGATAGATAGATAGATAGATAGATAGATAGATTAATTATATGAAAAGAAATGTACAACGATTCAGCTACAGGAGTCAATGGGTGCACTTTTTTTTCTTCTTTTTTAGATCATGGTAGCGCACAACACCCTCCTGAACACGTGTTTCTAACTTGACCGTGTGACTGATTTGCCCAGTCTGCGTTCAAGCGTACTCGATGGTGGCGATACAGGAAGGTCTTCAATCCGCAAAGAGCTTCCACTTAAATAATGCTAGCATGCTGACCTCTATCACTGTATCCTTTTCCGCCCCCGAGACAGTCTTCAAGTGACCGCTTGGTACATAGTGGCTCATGAGAGGAGGGCAGGAAGGGCTGCCTACCTGCTGAGGGAAATAAAGTGGGTCTTGATAGTTGATGGTTGCCGCACCCCGAGCGAATCTAGCCGCTACATGATCATTTATGAATCACTATTTTTTAGTCATTATTTTCAACTCTATCCGATACAGGGCGATCTTGTAATGTTGCAGAGATGTTGTATTTGGGTTGAGGGTTGTATGACGGTGTGAGGATATATACCATTGTCATCAATTATTTTCCTGTCCCCAAAACTCACCCCCAAATATGCATATCATATCTATCTATCTCTATCTATCTATCTATCTATCTATGTCAGTTTCTATCTCGATTATCTATGTTTCTATCTATCTATCTATCTATCTATCTATCTATCTATCTATCTATCTATCTATTTCTATCTATCTATCTATGTTTGTTTTCTATCTATCTATCGATTATCTATGTTTGTTTCTATCATTCTATCTATCTTTGTTGTCAGTTTCTATCTCGACTTATCTATGTTTGTTTCTATCTATCTATCTATCTATGTCAGTTTCTATCTCGACTTATCTATGTTCGTTTCTATCTATCTATCTATCTATCTATCTATCTATCTATCTATCTATGTCAGTTTCTATCTCGACTTATCTATGTTTGTTTCTATCTATCTATCTATCTATATCTATCTATCTATCTATCTATCTATCTATGTGAGTTTCTATCTCGACCCATCTATCTATCTATCTATCTATTTATCTATCTGTTATAGAGTAGCTAGCACCCTTCATCACTCTACTTATATAGTCTATGATTAAGAACTTCAACAGTTGACTAATAAGTTGATACTAAGCTGATTAATATTCGAACTGATCTTACTCCGTTTGGCTATAAAGCATCTGAACCTCCTTTATTCCTTGTAAGTTGTCTTGTTAATTGTTTTGTAACTTATTGTTCTGTGCTTTTTGTATGTATCCGTTAGCACCAGATACTGGTGTTGAATAAATATATTAAGCACTCATTTTTCTCTGTGTATCATTCATGTTGATGATACAACAATTTTCTACTTGGCATTGTGTTTCTGGTTCTTTCTATAGGAGACTTCAAATCTGTACATCTAATGTTGCCACCTGAACACTGAAAATTTTCCTTCACACTATGTTCAGGCTGTTATCCTCGTGTTTGATACTATATTGTTGTAGAGTAGCTAGCACCCCTTCAGCACTCTACCAGAAGGCCTGGCTCATAGCCTTAAATAATCTACGATTAAGGACTTCAACGGTTGATTAATAAGTTGATTAATAAACTGATTAATATTCAGACTGGTCTTTCATCGTTTGGCTATACAGCATCTGACCCTCCTCTATTCCTTGTAAGTTGTCTTGTTAATTGTTTTGTAATTTATTGTTCTGTTTTTTGTCTGTATCTGTTTGCACCTGACACTGGTGCTGAATAAATATATTAAGAACTCATTCTTTTCCGTGTATCATTCACCTCGACGATACAAAATATATATATAATTTTGATGTCAAACACCAATGATCCTGATGCAGATTAGCCTTTTCCAATATTCAGACAACTTCAACCCCTTCATATCAGTTATTTTTGAAACGTCAAGTGATGAAGTATCACAACACTGTTCGCTATTTACAGTTATTCCAAAAGAATCGACAAAAATAAAAACATTAGATTCTATCAAATTTAGTTCGAACACACTGTAAGCGATATGCATAATATCTATCTATCTATCTATCTATTGTAGAGTAGCTAGCACCTCTTCATCACTCTACCAGATGGCCTGGCTCAGAGCCTTAAATAGTCTACGATTAAGGACTTCAGCAGTTGATAAATAAGTTGATACTAAGCTGATTAATATTCGTACTGATCTTATTTCGTTTTGCTATACAGCATTTGACTCTCCTCTATTCCTTGTAAGTTGTCTTGTTAATTGTTTTGTAACTTATTGCTATTTGTGTGTTTTTTTTGTTTTTTTTTTTTGTATGTATCCGTTAGCTACGGATACTGGTGCTGAATATATATATATATATATATATATATATATATATATATATATATATATATATATATATATAGATAGATAGATAGACCTAGTGAGCCAGACAAACCTACCTAGGTTTCACCTAAACGGATCGTCAGGGAAAGTTCCCCTGACGATCCGTTTAGGTGAAACCTAGGTAGGTTTGTCTGGCTCACTAGGTCTATCTAGGTCTGCTCTACGGTTGTATTGAGCTCTTTTTTGTTAGTTGTTTACTCGTATCGGGGTTTTTCTTTGGGCTTCAGACCTGCATTTGTGCGATTTTTTTGTCGACAGAAGTTCATGTTTGTAGCTCTTTCTTTTTTTTTTAAACCTTTTTTCCCTCGAGATTGATTTGATTACCAAATCAAAAATTCGAGGGTTTTTTGAAAACAGTATAGTTATCTATATATATATATATATATATATATATATATATATATATATATATATATATATATAGCACTCATTCTTTTCTGTGTATCACTCACCTCGACGATACAACAATAACATTACGAATTGCTCTGGTTGAAAAATTCCGCACTGGTAAATTCTAACATCAGATTTATTGTTCTTTGCTTCATATGTACAGAGAGTATTAATTTTCTTTTCGCGTTTTTTGTTTTGATAATTAAGAATCTCTAATTTAGACGATGAATGTGCGTTTTAAAATATTCTTATTGTCTGTCTGTCTGTCTATCTATCTATCTATCTATCTATTTTCTGTTAATGTAACGCTACACAGCAACGTATGTTCGACGTTAGACGGCCTCGTAGCAGAAACGGCGTAGCAACATATTCACATTCCCAATTTAGTTCACTTGAAAGTTAAATCCTTTTGCGTTGAAATATAGATACGATTTTTTCTAGTCTGGTACAAGGCTATTAACATATATTTTTGTACGACTTATAAATCAACGGTTATTTAAAGCTGACACATATTTCGGATTGTAAGAATAATTGTTGTTTTGATCGAATGAATAATGCATTAACAGATTTTAGGAGATAACAATTACTTTTCCAGATACAAGTCCTACCATTTAACCCATAGCTGGATAGAGAAGAGATACTTTCATATATTTCCCAATGGTATTTTTTGTGTAACTTAATGTAACAAACCCGACTGTAAAGTTGAACTCGGCTCTCCGATTACTCCATCCAAGCTGATACCATTTACACCACTCACACATGTCTAACATAAGAAAACTAGTGATATTTACAAACTGTCCAATATCCTCTGGGGGCTTTTAACTTTTGTCAGCCATTATCAGTGAGTTTGTGTGTGTGTGTGTGTGTGTGTGAGAGAGAGAGAGAGAGAGAGAGAGAGAGAGAGAGAGAGAGAGAGAGATTCCACAACTATAAAGTAAAAGTTTTAAAACGACACCCCAATAGCGAGAATATTTATTTTATTCTATACGCTTTTATGAAACTTAGGAGAATGGTTTTAACATCACAATATAAAAATGAAATAACTTAAAAACTAGTGAAATGATATTTTTTAATTTAAATCGTTGCTATTATTTTCTTATTGTTTTCTTACCCGCCTCGTGCCAGAAAAAAAAATTTAACTGCTGCGAAACGATATTTTTTAAATTCTATAAATATTTTTTTAATTTTATTTTAATCTATGTCTGCCAACCTCAATGTCGATGGCACGAGAAACCAGGACAATCTACCTCAGGGGACGAAATAAAGGGTTCGAATCGAAAATCCATTCAGCTGAAGATGGCCGGCGCCTACAACGGCTGAAACGTTGCGAATATGGCAATTAAGATGAGGATAACAGTCCGAATAATATAAATAATGTAAGTAATCATAATACCTCATCTCAGAGATATAAACAGATATCTTTAATGTTATATAACCAATACTTTGGGAATATATATGTTATTCTATACGCTTTTATGAAACTTAGGAGAATCATTTTATGTTTTTATACTACATCGTAATATAAAAATGAAATAACTTAAAATCTATTGAAATGATATTTTTTTAAATTAAATCATTGCTATTATTTTGTTATTGTTTTCTTACCTGCCTCATATCATAAAATATTTAACTGCTCTGAAAATGTTTTTTTTTTTAATTCTAATTATCACATTATTTTTCCGATAATTCTAATTATCATATATCACATTATTTTTCAGACAACGTAGGTAATTCAAAATTATTTCTTTTTCGAACTTCTGTACAAAAAGAAATCTACTAGTTGTAATATGAAAATATTCTTTAAAAAGATATGTTCACGGTTGAAAATGGCACTAAACTTTACCATGTTTTTATTCTTCAAACATGTCTTTTATTAACAAAAAAAAAATACCTCTTGTTCCAAGCAGCAACTGGATGGATTTGAAAAATTACAAGTAAAGTGTTTATTTGTTGTTGTTTTTTTAATAGTCTGTATATTTTTTCCTGTCCAATGTGAAAAAAATGGACCAGATTTGTCATATAGAATCCGCGCTTAGATTCTATTAGAAATTTCCCAAATTGTTACATTTACATGTAAATCTACATGTTTAAGTCGAAAATAACGACGATAATTTGATAAAATAGTTCTGAGGAAAGCTCCTCTGTTAAGCCTAGAATCTATGAATTTAAGCGCATTACTCGATTGGCAGCTAGGTCTCATCATTTTACAGTTGAAATGCTTAGATACAACCGTAAGATCTATGCTAATAGTTTCTTTCCTCATACTTCCCTCTTGGAGAACTCTCTTCTGGCTTCTTGTTTTCTAGTCAGTTTTCATCTTCAAAAAGATCCAGTACAATGTCAACCGTTATTTTCTGTTCACTTAAATTCTGTTCTTTTATTGTGCTCACCCCTTTAATATTACTGCTCTTATATTTTTTCACACTCTATAAACTCCTGCGTGTTAGCCGCCCTTTTGTCTTGCTTTTTTCCGATTTTTGGTATTTTGGGATAAAAAAAAAATCTGGGTGACGATCTATTGCTTTCTTTTATTTTTCTATCAGGTCATCCCATAAG